GTCGGAATAAGGCAATCTTGGTATCGTTGGAAAGCTCTGAATTTCTCCTGCATGATCAAGCATGTAGACTTGGAGAAAAACACAGAGATGATAAAATCCAACAGCCATGCGTAATGACATATGCTCATGCAAATAACGCAAGCACACATAGCACGAGCACTCGGCAGGACGTTAGGATGACATGCACTCAGAATGACGTGCATCCAACACTCCCCCCCTGGCTAGAGCTGCTGCGCAACAAGGTGGATATCTTTGCTCTAGACTATGACACTATCCTTACTGCCATGTATGCTCTGACTGGTACTACTGAGGGTGACTGTTACCTGTGTGTGCCCCCTGATCCTGGTATAGCGGCTGCTGCTCTAGGTGCTAGTGAGTCTGATTTCTCTGTTACTGCGCCTGCGGAGGCCTTGCACACCTTTCCACTTGACTCTGGTGCTTCTCGCTATGTTTTTCGCGACAGTACCATAGTCACTCCCCTCCCTGCACCTGTCCCTGTCTCACTGGCTGACCCCTCTGGGGGCCCAGTGCTTGCACGGTCCACTACTGTGCTTCCGTGCCCGGCGGTCCCGTCCGGTGAGCTGTCTGGTCTCCACCTCCCCTCGTTCTCTACGAACCTGGTGAGCAACGCCGTCCTTCAGGATCATTGGGTTGACACCTTTACTCCTGGAGGACAGCGTGTGGCAATCTGCACGTGCTCCAAGACTGGCCGCCACCTGGCCACGTTCACACACGAGCCAGGGTCCAGTCTGTACACCCTCACCACAGTGTCGCGCTACACCCCTTTGTCTCCTCAGCTGTACGCGTCTGCTCAGGTAGCTACCCAGTGTGAGTGTCGCCGCCTGTCGCACGACACTCTCCTGTGGCACCACCGCCTTGGTCACCCCTCCCTGCCCCGCCTTCGTGGCATGCACTCTCGCTTCCTGGTCTCTGGTCTTCCCAGGTCTCTGCCCGCCCTCCCTCCCTCGCCTGCGCCGCCCTGCATTCCTTGCGTCGAGGGGCGGCAGCGCGCCGCTCCTCACTCCTCCTCGTTCCCTCCGACAGAGGCTCCGCTGCAGACGCTCCACCTGGACGTGTGGGGCCCAGCCCACGTCCAGGGACAGGGCCGCGAGCGGTACTTCCTGCTGGTCGTCGACGACTACACGCGTTATAACACATTCTTCCCCTTGCAGTGCAAGGGGGATGTCCCTACTGTTCCGATCCCTTGGATTCGCGCTGTTTGTCTCCAGCTCCGCGAGCGGTTCAAGTTAGACTTTCCGTCATGCGTCTGCACTCTGACAGAGGTGGTGAGTTCACCTCCGACCTCTTGCAAGCCTTCTGTGAGGGGGAGGGCATCTGCCAATCGTTCACGCTTCCAGCCTCTCCGCAGCAGAATGGGGTTGCTGAGCGCCGCATTGGCTTAGTCATGGAGGTCGCTCGTACCTCCATGATCCATGTGGCTGCCCCCCATTTTCTGTGGCCATTTGCGGTCCGGTACGCCACGCATCAGCTCAACCTCTGGCCCCGTGTCTTCTTGCCGGAGACCTCGCCCACACTGCGTTGGACAGGGGAGGTTGGCGATGCGTCGCGTTTCCGGGTCTGGGGTGCTCGTGCATTTGTCCGCGATCTCACCGCGGACAAGCTCTCTGCTCGTGCCATTCCCTGTGTCTTCCTTGGCTTTCCTCCTGACGCGCCTGGCTGGCAGTTTTACGACCCCGCCTCGCGCCGTGTCTTTGCGTCTCAGGACGTCACCTTCGACGAGTCGGTCCCCTTTTACCGTCTCTTTCCCTGCCGCATTGCCCTTTTCCCCCCGCCGCCGCTCTTTCTCGCTCCAGGTCCTCCTTAGGTAGACCCCCTCTCTCCTCCAGGTCCTGCACCTTCGGGTGTGTCTCAGGAAGACCCTACCTTGACTGAGCCTGTTGAGGTCACTGGTGACTCAGGTCCTGCTGGGGGTGGTCCTGCTCGGGGTGCTGTTTTTGGGGGTGCTGGGCCTGGGGGTGCGGAGCCTGGGGATGCTGAGCCTGGGGGTGCGGAGCCTGGGGGTGCTGAGCCTGAGCGTGAGGAGCCTGGGGGTGCTGAGCCTGGAGGTGCGGAGTCTGGGGGTGCTGAGCCTGAGCGTGAGGAGCCTGGGGGTGCTGAGCCTGGAGGTGCTGAGCCTGAGCGTGAGGAGACTGGAGGTACTGCGCCTGGGGGTGCTGCGTCTGGGGGTGCTGAGCCTGAGCGTGAGGAGCCTGGGGGTGCTGAGTCTGGGGGTACGGCGCCTGAGGGAACTGAGACTGCTGGTGCGCGGTCTCCTTGGAGTGGCCGCCTTCGTCCGCATGAGCCTCTCTCCTTGCAGCAGCTGCACGAGTGGTACGCTCGCCGTCAGGGTCGCGCTGCTGGAGCTCGGGGCTCTGCCGCTGGAGGCGCTTCTGCTGACGTCCCTGGAGCTGGGGGTGCCGATTCTGAGGGTACTTGGGCTGGTGCGAGAGGAGCAGACGATGCTGGAGCCATTGGGCCTGAGGACGCTCGAGCTGGTGGTACTACTGACCCTTCCGAAGGAGGTGCTGTTGGAGCTGCTGACACTGGAGCTGGGAGTACTGCAGGTACATCGTCTGCTGGAGGTGCTGGAGCCGCTAGTCCCGGAGGTGCTCGTACTGGAGGTGCTGGAGCTGCTGGGGCTACAGGAGCTGCCGGTTCTGGGGGTGCTGCTACTGGAGGCACTGGGCTTCGCCAGGTTCTTAGCCTCCCGTTGTCTACTGGCCTCCCGTTACAGCCTGGCTCCCCCCTGCCTGCTCCCTCTCCTTACACTGAGCAGACAGGAGGTCTTACTGAGCGTCGCGAGCCTGCGTCCCATCCTACCTCGCCTGTTCGCACTGGTCGCACTGGTCGCACTGGTCGTGTTCCTCGTGAGCGTCCGCATTATGGCACTTCGTCCTTCCTCTGTTCCACAGCATGTTCCCCTGCCGTCTCCTCCTGCGTCTTCTCTGCCTGACGTTGCGGACCCTGAGTCTGACCAGTTTCGTGCTGCCCACCCTACTGTCACGCGTCTGTTAGCCACTGTTGTCACTGACCCGTCGTTTGAGTCTGCTACTGCGTCTGCCTTGGTCGCTGAGCTTGTTGACTTTGCTGCTGCCTGTTGTCTAGACTACGCTGCTAGTCTTGTTGCTGAGTCTGAGTCTGTCTGTCCTCCGTCCGTCGGGGGTGACTGTGCTCTTGGCACGGACGTCCTTGAGGACAGACAGGAGGACCTTGAGTGTCTTGCGGCCGCTGCGCCTCATCTCGTGGCCATGCTGCTTGCCCCTGAGGGAGACCCGGATGCACCAGACATCCCGACCCCACGCTCTTACGCTGAGGCGATCGCGGGTCCCTACTCCTCTCAGTGGAAGACAGCCATGGACGCAGAAATGGCATCCTGGAAGTCCACAGGCACCTACGTCGATGAGGTTCCCCCTCCTGGGGCGAACATCATCGATGGCATGTGCAGCATTAGTCTCTATCTCGTTTGGCCCTCTATGCTTTTCCAGGATATTGGAACTCCCGCTCGCCCTTCATGCCCTCTCATGTTCACTCGCGCTCGCTCGCGTCTCTCTCTTCGTGCTCTCTTCCCTCACTCAACCTTCCTCTTTTCTGCCTCTCCCTCCTGCACCCTTACTCAACCTCCCGTCCCTTGCTCTCAGTCCCAGCTAGTGCCACTGAACAGCTAGCGAGACCATTTTTAGGCGCTTTGTGTTGGTACCTTCACTCTGTTTTTGATACCTTCACATCCCTCCCATGTCCTCGCCCACAGTCCCGGCTAGTGCCGCTGAACAGCGAGCAGGACTACTATGACGCACTCACATCCCAGCGAGTGGCCCTGATAGTGGACAAGGAACCCTACTTGAACGTCTCCCTTTCTCCCGTGCTCTACCCACCCTCCTTCATCCCTCGCCCGCAGTCCCGGCTAGTGCCCTTAAACCGGCAGCAGGCTTATTACGAGGCACTCACATCGCATAAGGTGGCGCTGGTAGTGGACGAGGACCCCTACCTGAACGTCTTTGCGGGTAATCTCACCCTTTCTCATCCCCCTCGCACTCGTCCTTCCCTCCCATATTCCCCCCCGCAGCCCCGCCTAGTGCCTCTGAACAGCGAGCAGGGCTATTATGAAGCGCTCACACCGCAAAAGGTGGCACTGATAGTGGATTAGGACCCCTACCTGAACGTCAGCGCTCACACCGCAAAAGGTGGCACTGATAGTGGATGAGGACCCCTACCTGAACGTCTTTGCCTCGCAGTACTGCCAAGTTCTGTGCGCCTCCCAGGCCTTCAACGACCTCAACTCCGCCTTTGTGAGACAATAGGGGCACCTGGGGCACCTGGCCACCTAGGGGCACCTGGGGGCATCTGGCGGCATCTAGGGGCACTTGGATACTTAGGTACAAGGCAAAGCACGTCACAGGCCTTCAACGTCCTCAACTCCGCCTAAAGACCGATCGTCTAAAGCAGTTGACATACATCTCTTCTCCCTCTTCCTCCCTTCCTTTCTCCTCTGTTTGGTCCCCAAAACTCAATCCCGGGCATTTCATTCGGTGCAGACATCTCCCAAGCGCTGATGGAGCTGACTTTTGCGTCCCTCCCCTTTCCCCATCCCTGTTCTCTGTTTTCTCTCTCTCACTCTCTTCCCGAATCTTGATTCCCTCAGGCCTTCCAAAAGGGATCTTTCTTCGGAGAGGACATCTCAGGGCTCTCTATTCAGGGCGGACATCTCTCAAGCGCTGATGGAGCTGACCTTTGGCATTCTCTCCTCCCATCGCTTCTTCCACACTTATCATCTTCCCCTTTTCATTCCCTCAGGCCTTTCAGAAGGGCTCTCTATTTGGGGCGGGCATCTCTCAAGCGCCAATGGAGCTGGCGCAGGATGGCGAGCTGCAGCGCAATTGCAGCATGTACATCAAGGTGCGGTGCTGCTCATGCTGACTGGTTACTGTCATATGTGCTGCTAATGTGTCAGTGACCTGCTGATGGAGCTGGCACAGGATGGCGAGCTGTAGCGCATTCGCAGCATGTACATTAAGGTGTGCTGTGCTGCTGCTGACTGGTTACTTTCATGTGTGCTGACATGTCTCCTCTATTCGGGGCGGACATCTCTCAAGCATTGCTGGAGTTGGCGCAGGATGGCGAGCTGCAGCGCATTCGCAGCACGTATATTAAGGTGCGGTGCTGCTCATGGTTGACTGGTTGTTGTCGTGTATGCTGCTAATTCGTCAGTGACCTGCTGATGGAGCTGGCGCAGGATGGCGAGCTGCAGCGCATTCGCATCATGTACATTAAGGTGTGCTGTGCTGCTGCTGCTGACGTGTCACTACTGACGTGGCGCTTCTGACGTGTCACTGCTGACGTGTGGCTCGCTGTCATGCTGATGATGTGCTGTTTTTTGGTTGGTAGAGAAGGTGCAGCAGATTGCTGCGATCACAAAAACAGCATATCCCTCCCTGATACAAGCTACTTTTTATTTCGCCCTGCTCTCCCCCTCTTCCTCTGCGGCCCGTCAGAACACGTCCAACTGTGACAATGCAGCGTCCATGATGGTGGGGAAGGTGCAGATCTCAGTACATTCCTCCTTCTATCCCTTCACGTTCCTCCTATTACCCTACCTGCCACCCCCACCCCCACCCCCACCCCCACCCCGCACCAGAACACGTCGAACTGTGACAATGCAGCGCCGGTGACAGCCACAGTGTGGCAACACGCAACAACACGGTGGTGTGGTGGAGCGCGGCACGGTGGTGTGGTGGAGCGCGGCACGGTGGTGTGGTGGAGCGCGGCACGGTGGTGTGGTGGAGCGCGGCACGGTGGTGTGGTGGAGCGCGGCACGGTGGTGTGGTGGAGCGCGGCACGGTGGTGTGGTGGAGCGCGGCACGGTGGTGTGGTGGAGCGCAACGGTGGTCCGCCTACCTCGTCGAGGTCCCTGGGGAGGTGAGCTCTTGGCCCATAACATCCTTCTCTCCACTTCTCTCCTCCACCTTCGTACGTTGCTGCCCTGCCCCACTCCTCCCTTCTCTACTCTCTCGTCTCTCTTTTCCTTGCCTCATTATTCTCCCCTTTGTGCATCGCATTCCCTCTCCCTCTTGCTCTCCGTCTAGGCTGAGTGTTTTCATCGCCACCGCCTTCCAGCTCCGCTGCCATTGCACCACACCCAACTCTCCACACTCCCCACCCCTCCCCTTGCCCCTCCTCCCAGGTGGTGTTCCTGCTTCTGTTGGAGATGTCCCTGATATTTACACGACTGCCCCCGCATCCCCTTGTGTGCTCTCGATCCCTGCAGGTTCCTGGGGGAAAAGTGTTCTCACGAGCAGAGCCACGGCACAAGCAGGAGATAGTGCGCATGCTCAAGGAGCAGGGGGAGGTGGTGGCCATGACTGGGGATGGGGTGATCGACGCTCCTGCTCTCAAGCTGGCGGATACTGGCATCGCCATAGGCATTGCCGGCACCGAGGTGAGTGGCTTGTTAGGTACTCATAAGATATGTCTGGGGATGGGGAGAACGGCGCCCCTGCTTTCAAGCTGGCGAATATCGGCATCGCCATGGGCATTGCGGGCATCGAGGTGGGTAACATTGGGGCTGGTATGTTGTCCATTCCCGTTTCCCTTGTACTTTCAGTTCTTGTTTCGCCTTCTTGTTCAACCTGCGAAAATGCATGCTGTTTTCTGTGCTCAATCCCCTCCCTGTGTGTATGTAGTCTCAGTTAGATAAGGAGGCATAAGGCGTGGCCCTGGCAGATGATAACGCCCTCAGCTGCCGTCCTTGCTTCAAACCCATCACTTGTCCTACCTACCCTACCCTCCCCCCTTCCCATTGTGCCATGTGGCAAAGGAGGCATCGAACATGGTGTAGGGACACGACAACTTGAGCACTAGCGTGGCTCCCAATCGCTTGAACCCTCGTCGTTTGATTTCATTCAACCCCTTTCCGTTCACCTGCAGCAGGGGGTGAAGGAGGCATCGGACTGCAAGTAACAACATGGTGTAGGCAGACAAACAACTTCAGCAAGGCGGTGACTCGCCATTCACTTGAGCCCTCTTGTCCTCCACACCTCAGGTGGCGAAGGAGGTATTGGATATGGTCCTTGCGGACGACAACTTCAGCTCCATCGTGGCTGCACTGGCGGAGGGGCAATCCACTACAACAACATGAAGGCATTCATCCGGTAAGAACGCTCATCCTGAGGCCATTCGTGTGCTAGTTAGGAGTGCATGAAACCACCCCTAGCAGTTCTGAGGGGCGATCCATCTATAACAACATGAAGGCATTCATCCGGTGAGTGGATACATGAGGTGAGCTATTCATCTAGTGAGGCCATCCATCCATTCATGCCATTCATTACAACAACATGAAAGCATTCATCTTGTTCTTGCTCTTCTTCTTCCCTTTCCTGTTCCACCCCTCATGCCCTCACAACGATGATATCGAGCAAAATGGGGTGGCATCCATCCTCCTCACCGCTGCTCTCGGCCTACCGGAGAATCTGATCCCAGTGCACCTGCTGTGGGTCAACCTCGTCA